ATTCCAACATACGCACAAAAACTACTTACAATTTCCAAGTCAAGTTTTGAAAATGTTATTGTGCATTTAAATCTTTCAGAAGCCAATAAGAGCACTGTGGTAAAACAAAACACTAAACTGTTTATAAAGTCTCACTTTACATTTTTAGAAGCAGACTAATCATGATTTTATTAATATAACCTAACAAAAATAAAGTTCTTAAAGTCTTGGGGACCTACGCATAAAATGGAGTAGACAAGAAAGAAGAGTGCTCAGTGCTTTTATACCAACTACATGTCCCAGCATGCAATGCTCTAATCTGAAGTTTAAAAACTGCAGTGCACCCTGGGACTTGTAGTGAGTAAACCAGCTTTTCACAGCAAGTTTCATGAAAGTCTGAACTATGGAGCACAATCTGATTAGGTCTTATTTTCAGGGTCTAATCAAATTCAGATCAAATTTGTTTGTTCTCTGCTCTGGTAGTGCTTCTCCACTACATACTAGAAAAAGTATCAATTAGCATTAATATTTCCCACTAGAAAAACCTTATAAAGCACAAAATGCTTTAAAAATAAGTACTAGAATAGAAATGTGATCTTATACTTTTTAAAATAAGTTTTGCTGGTCAGTTACAACATTTTATCATCTCTCCTCCTCCCCACAAAAAGATGTTTTTATTGTACTATGTCTCCTTTAACAATTATTCAAGATATATTTTTAAATATTTTTTCTTGAAATTTTTCACAGCCAAGAATTCACTATACTCTAGGATTGCCCACTAGGAAATATATTCTTTTTTTTTTTTTTTTTTTTTTTGGAAATATATTCTTAGAGTAATATGCACACACATCCTTACAACAAAACACCTAAGCTTTTCTTTGGTCAAATCCTTGCTTTACAGTTATGCCTACTGCTCATCACCCCTAATTCTATTCACACATTTCTGAAAACTCTTAGAAAAAAATTCCAACTGTAGGCCTAATTCTCTCATTCACAGACATCTTTTAAAAATACAAAAGTTTGCTGGGCAGTGATGGTACAGGCCTTTAATCCCAGCACTCAGGAGACAGAGGCAGGCAATCTTTGTGAGTTTGAGGCCAGCCAGGTCTACAGAGCCAGTTCCAGGACAGCCAAGGCTACACAGAGAAACACTGTCTTGAAGGGGAAAAAAAAAAAAAGTTTTTATAAGCTACTAATACCATTTCCAAACCAAAAAAATCTGAACTGTAGTTTATGTACACACAGTCCCTACTGATATCCCTATTTTCTCCAAGACTCTGGAAGGAGGCTGAGAAAAACCTGAGTACAGCCTGCATCAGGAGGCCTACCACAGGTGGCGGGTTATTTTCAGGCAACAGCACCTTCACAAACATGCTGCGGAACACGGTCCAAGAAGCTCCTAACAAGAAGAGATAAGCTGGCACGCAGATTAACACAATCCAGCTAAAAGTCACCTGCAGCGTGTGCTAACACATTTCGCCATAAAAGTGACAGGCTACTGAAGTATCTGAAGCTTCATCAATACAACAAGACATAAGGCCAGAGATAGCAGTTGCCATGGTTACTATCACCTACTTTTATCATGAAATTACTGTCATTACCCTGAAGTTTAGGGTACTTACTTAAATGTTAAAAAGAAGAGTTCAGTGTTCTGTCCAGGGAGAGAAATCAGGTGCTGTGTGATTTGTAAGCATGCCACTTTGGAAATGCACATGGTTAACAACACTTGGATCTGCAGCAGGAAAAAAAAAATCAATTCCTTTCTGCTGCTCCTGTTCCTCAAGCACTGACAGTTTGTATTTTCAATGCAGCCAAAACAATAAAACAAAACCCATCCTTTGGGCTTCTGTGTCTGACTTATGTTTTTCCCCTAGACCCACAGAGTCAAAATAAAACTATTAGGTCCCACCTCCTCCAATCTCCATATAACTGGTTTGACTTCTCTTCTTCATTAAAAAGCAGAAAAATGTTGCTTTAGTTCATTCCAAAATGTAGAAGAGTTTCCTGAAACTAGACATGAACGTATGGAGAGGAGAGGAGAGGGACTTGCAGAGTGCTGGCGAGAAAGGTTAGGAGATGGATTCAAAATGCCAGAGTCTGTGAATCAAAGTTACTCCAGCAAAGCATGCAGTCTCTACATGGGAAGATTCACCACCCCCCTATAGTCAGGTGCCCCAATAACAGACAAAGTTGTTCTTCAAAGTCTACCCCAAGATGGGCATAGTAATTCATGCCTGCAAGCCCCGCACTAAAGAAGCTGAAGCAGGGTTAAAAAAAAAAAAAAGGCTAGTCCAACATTGATACAAATGATAACTATTCAAAGATTTAATATACATAAAAATGATATAAAAGTACAAAAAGTACGGCTATATATACATAGAAGCATATAGAGGAAAAGATGTGCTCTTTAGGAATAATTATCTGGGGGTAAGATGGCTTAGTGGTAAGAACACAGCCATTTCTGCAAAGGATATGGGTTCAGTTCTCAGCTCCCACGGCAGCTCACAACTGCCTTTAACTCTGGCAGCAGGAAACCTTATACCTGCCTCCGGCCTCCTCAGGCACCAGGTATGCACATGGTACACAGACATGCATGCAGGCACCCACCCACACATATAAAATAATAATAAACCTTTTAAAGAAGAAATATTAAAAGCCAGGCGTGGTGGCACATGCACTTGGGAAGCAGAGGCAGGTGGATCTCTGTGAGTTCGAGTCCAGCCTGGTCTACAAAGGGAGTTCCAGGACAGCCAGGAAACCCTATCTCAAAAAAAAAAAAAAAAAAAAAAAAAAAATTTAAAAAAAAAAAAAAGAATGAATTGGGTTTAGGGATTTAGCTTGATAGTAGAGCTCTTTGGGGGTGGGGAGATAAGCAGCAGCAAAAAAAAAATTATCTACAGTAAGTCTGATGCAGTATTAAAATACTACCACTTAAAAATTAAATCCCAAAGCACCAAAAAATACACTCCTGGTAAGGGTAATGTGATCAAAACATACAGCTATGCTTCTAAAGTCTTAGGACGGCATAAAAATCCACAGGCAAATGCTCCAGAAAAGTCAGCATAAACCCAACATAAAACAACAGGAAAACTCAAATGCTTCATCTACCTGAACAGACACATAAAGGAATTTCAGCAGAGGTCGGAGACCTAACACTTTAATCTCTTCCCTTCTCCTTTTGAATAAAAGCCTTCATCAAGAAAACACTAAGTATAAAAACATTTTAACGCATACTGATGTAATTTAACCTCAGTATTTCTTCATCAAATAAATAAATAAATAGCATCAGTGTTCACCGTGGCATAAAAAGTTTGCCATCATTATGACAGGTTTCCTTTTTATCTAAACAGTTCAATGATTTCCTCACCCTTCCCGAGAACAAGTTTCTATATTTACTTTTTAACTCAGGCTACTTCATGAAGAGTCATTTATAAAATTCAGAATATTATATTCCTAAATACAAGGATTCCCAACAAATTCTATTTAACTGTTGAGTTTATCATTCCAAATATGTAAGCAGGTTTTATGAAGAAAGCCACTTTCTGGCTATTTTTACACACGTGTGTACGCACACAGAGAGGATTTAACCCTCTAGAACTGAGTAGTCATTTCCTTATGTAACCTTCTAAAAGCAGAAAACAAAAATAACATATATATTTACTAACACGAATACACAGCGATGTCACTATGAAACAAACTAGTTAGCTTTAGTCAGGAAGCCTTTCCCATAGGGTCAATCAAAACCTTAGCAGGGACCTCTGTTATCTGTCCAGGAACTTATACATTCACTAAAGTCAACCACACTAACACAAGAGAGGAAGACAACTCTTATAGAGGACGTACATTTCACACTGTCTTCGGAAGGAAAAATAATTTTCTTTTAATTATGGACAACTGCCTAGGCAGCATTTTTTTTTTTAACAAAAGCTTTAAAACTATAACAAAGCAAAAAAACAAAATTCATAGTGTCCAGAATGTACTTTTAATGCGGTCATTTCCTAACTGATATGGAAGAACTTAGCATTTTAAAGCAGAACTTTGTTCATGTTTTAATCTACCATCTATCTCATCAACAATGTCTACATAGTTTCTGGCAGTTTACAAGGAACTTCCACAGGTACTACTTATTTGATCTTACTGAAAACACACACACACACACACACACACAATACATAACTACAAAATTCAAAGCAGGTCCATCAAATTTTCTATGTGTTTCTAAGTTTTCAAAACTTTGACACAGAACTTTACAAACAATAACAGCACTCTATTTTGACTCACAGTTAATTCATCTAAGAGTCTCAAAGGACCAAGTACTACGGAGGCCATGAAAACATTGAAGTAGCTACTGCCATCTTTATGCAATCATTGTTACAAGTTACTAGCAGACACACCAGCAAAGATTCATACCCACAGATATAACTTTCCTTCAGGTTTATATGTTCTTCTTGAAACAAGTTCTTACAGTGCAGGCAAGGCTGCCAGCGCCTCTCAGTGTGCTTCCTTCCTAAACCTCCTGGGATTACAGGCCAAGTACTGGAATTTCAGAGCACTCCACTTAATTTCACATACAGTTCAAAAATCACAGTCAACTTTAATACAGCAAGCACATCTCTAAGGTTGAATGCCTGTGAAGGCATCTAGATTAAAATCATTGTCCACAGATTCAAGTAGAGGAAGAAACCCCCCCCCAACACACACACACATACAATATCCCTTTTTCCAAAAACGTCTGTATATCCTATCTATATTAATATCATGTTTGCAAGGCCTAAAGCTTTACATCTTGACACTTATTTCTGTTTATTGCAACGTCAAAGAGCTTTTTTCAAATTATGTTCAACACTCCACTTAGCAACACCAAACTAACTCTCCTTTGAAGGAAAATAATCCTAACAGCACCCTATTCCCAGCCCAGCATCCACAGTGCCCACCTTACTCGGCACAGTATCACAGGCAGGTACAAAGCAGATTTCAAATAGCAAAGGCAATTTATTAATAGTACTTTAGAACAGACTTACTCAAAGTCTTCCTGGAACTTTACTCCTGTTCCTTGGCTGAGCTAGAGAGCTTCAATAGGTAGAAAGACCCTCAAAATTAAGAGTCCCTTTAACTTGTTGTAGCGCCTCCTGCTGGACAGTGCTAGAGAGAGTCCAGTAAACAGGACAGTGTTTCTGAAGCAGCTCCTCCTAGATAATTGAACAGGAAAAAGGATGGGCCACTGAAAGCCAAAGGAAATAATGTCCCATCCGTCACTTACAACCCTTCAAAATAAAGTATGGCCCAGGCAGGTGTCTTTTCAATGTATTATTTTTCCTGCTCTATAAAGATTTGCCTGAGTCCAAAGTCTGACCACCTTAAACCTTGTGAAGCTGTCTAAAAACTTAAGTTAAAAATGCCTTTGATAGCACTTAAGAGAAAAAAAGAAAGAAAAAGAAAAAAAAAAATCAAAAGACTTTTTATAATAGCCAGCCAGGCAATGCAGTCAAAATGTAAATACTGTGACACCAAAATCAAAAGTCTCAAGTAAAGAAAGACCCTGAATAGTTTTAACATGTTAGTCAGATGTTTGTGCCTTGAGAATTGTCTCCACTGTCACTAGATTCTTCTCTGAAGGACAGCCGCACACATACTCAAGTGTTGAGTACTGAAATTCTTAATGAGCATTACTACACTAAAAAAATTCCTCTTTGCCATCAAAACATGTCCTGAGATTTCTAAATGTATTCTTGGACATTTAAAATGGCCCTCGGTAAGCTAGTGTTAAGCTGACTACAGACTCCATATACAAGTGAAGACAGAAGAAAACAGCAAGGAACTTACCGAAATTAAAATGAGTAACAGTATTCCCAGGAAAAATTCAGTAATGCTTTCCTACAAGGCTGCAAACCAAGTAGATGGTAAAACTTTGAAAAGGGGGGAGCCAGCTAACCTTCAAAAACCAATAGGAACGCTGACCTATTTATTCCTACTGCCCAAAAGTAAGAAAACATGAGCTGTAAACACGTAACATACAGACTTTTCTGAAAAGCAGCCTTCCACTCCTTAGCCTCAATTTCAGCCCTCTGAACAGGCCCTCAATAAAGCTACAGAAGATGCTGAAGACCTCTCTCTAAAAGACGATACCCCCCCTCCCCGCTCCGTGCCCCAAAGAACCACCACAGAGTGCCTGCCAAAAGGCTTCCTAGAGTGCAAAACAGCTTTAAAGGATAAAGGCAGGAAAACAAAAACAAAAACCTTTAACCAGCCAAAATGAATCTGATTCTGACATTCAGCTATCAATTATTAATAAATAAATGCCCTTCCCTCTCTAACTTCTTCAGCTCAAGACTCTACATTCCTGATATCTACCATTAAGGAAACGCATAACTGGCATCCCAGCTATGGGGTAAAATCTTATAAGTCCAAAAACACAGTCACAAAGTTCACTGTCAAGGCCAGCGCTGAGGCCCACACATGCCGAGACCTTAAAATCACATTTCAGATTCTAGAAATCCGTACTCCCGGAGACATCCTCTAAAAACAACACCGTGTGGACGTGCACAGGGAGATCCTCTACTTCAAGACCTAAACAAAGAATATTTCAACATATGACCGGAATATGATGACACCGGATTCACCCACGAAAACAAAACCTGCCTACCATTAGCCGCCGTACCCTCATCTCAACAACTCAACTACTTAGAAATCACTCCCGGCACATCTACACCCCACAATCGGCATGTGGCCTCCTCCCGGGTGCAAGCCACAAGACAAAGTTGAAGGAGACCTTTCTCGCCGGGTGCCCCGAGGTCCACATCAAACCCCTCCCCTGCCAGGGCCACCTTGCAGCTACCCACCATTGCGAGCGTGGTCAAGGGAGAAGGAGGTGGGGGGGGGGAGAGAGAGAGAGAGAGAGAGAGAGAGAAAGAAATCCTAACAGCACCGCTCAGCAGAATAAAGAGAGCAGAGAGGGTGACGAGAAGTGTTGGGAACTGCGTGCACCGCGGGGCTGGACCAAACGGAAAGAGTCCCACTCCGCGCGCCCCTCCCCCCGCAGCCCGGGGGGAGGGGCGGCCGCGGCCCCTCTCCGAAGGGCCTGAGAGTCCCCGGCCCGCGCGGGGTCCCGGGGCGGCGGGCCGGCGGCGGCGGCGGCGGGAGGGCCGCCCCGGGGTGAGGGGTGCAGGCGGACTCCTCGGAATAACAAGTTGCAAGAAGAAGAATAAGCGGAATTTCCCCAACGCTGCTCCGGCCACCCAAGACAAATGCACCAACACACACTCACTCGCACACACTCGGGCCCGGCAGCGTCAGCAGCCGCAGCTTTTTTTTTTTTTTTTTAAAAAAAAAAAAAAAAAAAAAAACCCGGAGCTCTCAGTCACCAAACAAGATGGTTTTCCAAAAAATAAATAAATAAATAAATAAATAAATAAAATAAAAACCTTTTTAAATTCAATAACCATAATAAAAACTTCCCCCCGACAGCATCCCGGGGGGTGGGGGTGGGGAAGGGGCCCGGGCGACCATCCCCCGGCCGCGGGCACTCGCGGGGGGCGGCCCCGACCCGCGCCCCCCGCCCCCGCGGCCCCCCGGCCCGGCCCCCCGGCGGGACTCCGGGTCGCCCCCTCGCCGCCACCCCCGACGCGCCGCCCCTGTCACCCGCTCCGGCCCTGCACTCAGCGCCCAGGCTCCCGAGGCTGCTCATAAACTTACTTCCAATCTATCCTAGGGAGGGGTGGAGGGCAGAGGGGAGGAAGGGGGGAGACGAGGTATTCCCATTGTCTTTTTTTTTTTCCTGGGGGGGGAGAGGAATAGGAAAAGGGCACGCAGGGGGGCGCCCCAAAGGGGAAGTTACTGCTGAAACCTCAAGTTGACTGAGGGGTCCTGACAAGAGCACCCCCTTTCCCTCCTCCCTCCCACACACCCCTCCCCTCCCCCTACCTCCCCCCCACAACAAACTCCAAGCAAGCAGCCCCTGCTCCTTCCCAGAGACAAACACCAGAGACAAGACAGAGGGAGAGAAGGAAGGGGGGGAAGGGGGAGGGAGGGGAAATAGAGCTACTCAAGAAGAAAAAAAAAAAAGAGAGAGAGAGAGGAGAGTGAGGAAGAGAGAGAATGGAAAAGCTGGGATACTGCACCCTCCTGCTGCTGGCTGGCTGTCCCCCCTGGCAGCTGGAGGCAGGAACTCTGAGCAGGAGAAGCAGGAGGAGGAGGAGGAGGGAACTCTTCTTCATGGGGAGGGAGGGAAGGCTGGAGCTGCTGCTGCTGCTTCTGCTGCTGCTCTGGGCCTCTCGCACTTTTTAGATATTAGTGTGTTAAGATGGTAGGTTGTTCCCTTCTCCCTCCTCCTCCTCCTCCTCTCCTCTCTCTCACTCACTCACACACTCTCTCTCTCTTT